AGGGTGATGCCTCAAACTGTTTTTCGCCACCTGCCAGAGGTATATAGTGAAGATTTCTTCTTAAATGTCCCCTTAAAGGAGAAATATCTCGGAGTTACACCAACGGAACTTAAGTTTAAAATGTGTAATTCAAGGATCTCAAAAAAGGACTCCGCTTTCGGATAGAATTGTTACTGGTGAAAGCTTGTGAAGAGAAATGGCACGGTCAATGGAAAGTATACCCCAAAGACTAACACGACCCAACTGACCTCCTATTTGTTTTGCTGAAAGCTGAAGGTACCGTCCAAACCAATCATACGCGTTCTAATATTCAGATATCAAACTCAGCCGGTTTCAGTTTGGAAAGGACACGGAGGCTTGATGGCCTGTGTTAGTCCTGGCAATTGTGTTCTCTCAGTTGATCCAACTTTCTTTTGAAAGAATCTACGGATGGAGCTTCAACCACGTGTTGAGGTAATGAATTCCACTCGTTGATGATTCGGTGGGAAAGTCGATAATCAGCTGACAAGTAATTTGTTCTGGGCTTGTGAACTTTTTTGGAGTGTCCTCGTAAATTCTCTGTTTTGGAAGACAGGAAAAATGAGGGCATACCAGGTGCAAATTTATCACTAAGCAATTTGAAAACTGTAATCAAGTCGCCTCTAGTTCTACGATATGACAAAGGGAATAGGTTTAGCTTGGCCAGTCGAGCATCATACGGAAGCTTCGCTATCACGGGAATCAGCTTAGTTGCTGTTCTCTGGACCTTTTCCAAAAGCTCACTGTCTTTTTTTAAGCAGGGGCTAGCCGCTTGTATGCAGTACTCAAGTTTAGGACGTACGAACACTGTATACAAAGTCATAAACGTTTGAGCGTCGACAAGAGCAAAAGCCCTACATATTGGCCATAAAGTTTTAAAACCTTTAGCGGCTATTGCACAGCAGTGTGCAGTAGTCTTCAGATCATGGCTAACGATGACTCCTTAATCATTATGTGTCTGGACAACAGGTCATTTTGGAGTCCTAAGCTATCACCCTTACATCGTATCGTTCTCCATATCTTGACATCGTCAGCATATAGCAATACCAACGATGATAATAGGCGAGGATGGTCGTTTATTTACAAAAGGAATAACACTGGCCACAAAACTTTACCCTGGGGCACTCCACTAAGCACAGTTTACCAATTAGATAACTTTGAGTTCACCCGTATTCGTTCTTGGCGCCCAACTAGAAAGTCATTTAATCCACATCAATAGATTGCCTTCAATCCCGACATTTCTAAGCTTTTATTACAGCCGGTTGTGCGGAACTTTGTCAAAAGCTTTGCTGAAAGCAATGTAGGCTACGTCCATAGGTTTTTGAGAGCTCACCAGCTTTCACGAGCGACCAATAAGTTAGTGAGACAAGAATAACCTATTCTAAAACCATGCTGCTTCTCCAGAATGATCCAGTTTTCATCGAGGTACTTAAACAGCTCCTTCAGAATAATCTTTTCTGAGATTCTGACAACCACACTAGTTAGGCTAACGGGTCGTTAAATCTCAGGTTTATGTTTCGTACCTGTTTTGAAGACAGGACATACTATGGCGTTCTTCCAGTCTTTTGGTAAACGCCCCTGCATTACGGATAGCTTAAAGCATATACTTAAAGGATTCGCAACGAAGTTAGATAATTCCTTTAGTAGCCTAGGATGTAATTCATCGGGCCCTATGGATTTACCTATGTCAAGCTTATTTAGCAGATCAAAGACATCGAGTTCATTAATGGTCACGCTATCCAGTGTATGTGTGGGGGGGGTCTGTATGCGCTGACGGGAAGGGTGTTTCTATGGTATATACATTGCTTAAGTGGTTTGAGAATACTTGAGCCTTACAAAAGTCGTCCTCCACTAATGATGAGGCAGTACCGTTTCCCTATAGTGCAGGGATATATCCTCTTCCTTTTGTCCCCTGGTTTATATAGGAATACAAGCGTTTAAGACATCTTATGGATTCCTAAACAATTTTCTCTTTGTACAACTTTCTAGACTTACGGAGAGTCGAGGCACAGTTACCACGGCACACGTGATAACCGGATAAACTAGGTCCTGCTCGAAGGAATTATCTGACGATTCACTTCGCACATTTTCCCAGTTTACCATGGGTCCATTAAAGTCCCCTGGTATTAGACATCGACCACTTTGTGACCAAGTATTGAGACTGCTTAGCATGACATCATTTACCTCGAAGCTTGGACCGCAATAGACCAAACCAATCAGCAGCTCTTGTCTCTTTTAGTTCAAGAGGCAACTAACCAATTCACACGTCCTACTTTCGTGGGATACACTGTCAATAATGACATATGGGATAGCATTCTTAATGAATAAAGCTACTCCTTCTCCTTCACGCTATTGTATTCTGTCGTCCCTTATTAACGTAAAACCATCGAAATCAAGTTCCATACTATTTGTAAACTGCATCAGCCAAGTTTATGTGAGTGAGATTATGTCTGGCTTTGTCGAGTCAATCTATGCACCTAGTTCCGTTCGCTTATTGAGCAAACTTCGGGCATTAGTGTAACAAATCCGAAGTCTATTTAGATGGCTTCGTGCTTTACCTAGAGTGGCTTCGGCATTGAAGATGCCACAGGTATTTGGAGTTTGATAACGCTTTAACCTGTAATACCTAATATGAATCGTACTCACCAATCGAAACCAAAAGAGATAAGCAAGGAGGTTCGAAGATATATTTGATAGAATATCAATATATCGAGGATCGTCTGACCTAATCTGGCTAGCGATTGCAGTAGATGTTGAGCACGGCGTAATCTGGTGCGGATGCATGACCGAACGCCTTCAGCTAGATGAGTCCATTAAAACTAATGTGATCAGTATCCAATGTCGAAAACTTACAGAACTATTTATTTTGCGGGTTTATTTACCTCTACAGCATCATTCTCTGTCGAAGCCTCACAACCCGAAAATTTACAATTTTTGGGTTTTTTCACAAGCGACTAACCTAATTTGTGGTTCTTTTTCGGATCCCCGTCTTTGTACATGGTCTGCTAACGGCAAGTCCTTGCGGACAAAAACTCCTGAACCTTTTAGTTTTTGCCCATTCTGTGAAATAATGTCGCGTTCTTTCGAAGATGTGATTACTTCTTTAAGCAGTCTGGATCAATTAGGCTTCAAGTTTGCTAGACTACCTAGTCTGTACACCTTTAGCAAGGTCACTCCGGAGATATTTCGAGGCATGAGTTGATTAAGTAGCTGTTTTATCACTATAATGTCATTCTCGTAACGAGTTTTCGGTTCAGAGCTTTCACTCTGCTTGATTCTGTGAAAAATAACTGACCTGTCACTGTGATCAGTATTCAATTTCCCGACTACTTTTATGGAAACAGGATTCCGTTTTATATCGTTATGTCATTTCTTGCTTACAAGCTGTACCCATTCACCAACGTTGCTTGGAGAAGCAACCATATTCGCGCACACATACTACAGTACTCCGGAGGGTTGTCGACGACATGGAAGGTCAGGTTCTGTTTCCCACTAGAAACCGATCGAACGTTGTGATTGCGGCTTTTAGGCGTTTCCTGCTGGATACCATTTAGAAGACGTGGGACAGAAGAAACCTTTCTTGAGTTTTTAGTTAAGACAGACCACTTTGAAGACTTTTTTTCCTCCTTCGGTCGGTGTGAGTCAGCTGTTTTCGGACTCACCTGAGTTTGCTCCACACCAATTTGTGTGTCGACAGAGCGACTGCGGTTCGATGTGTAACAATCACTCTTGCCAAAACACTTTTGCAGCAGCACTTACCATTGAGACGGCCTCGGTCGACGAGCTTTTTGCATCCAAACAGCACTGTTGACAAAACCACACGCAACCGTTTCTACTGGATCGTTTGAAAGCCACAGGAGTCAAATTCGTGCAAACTTCGTGGTACCAGCCTTTGCACTCATCCCACTGCATGCCTTTTTCAACGGGATAACGACAGCCCGGACGTTTGCAATTGCTTTTTTGCACTGTCCAGTCATGAAACAGAGGTCTTATTTAAAAATACAATGGTACACAGAGATAAAAATGATCTGTGAACAAAAAAGTGGAGAACTGTAAATTGTTAGAATCAAAGGTACTAACAGATACAATAGAAAACAAGGTACTCAAAAGTACCAACGATAAACCGCTTAAAAAACAGAAACCATACTCTAATCGAATACCTTAACTGAAATGAATTCAATTTAAGTGTAAACAATAGTCTTGATACGTGATAAACTATCAAAACAATAGAATTTACTCAGAGAGGAAAAATACCACTGTCCTCGAATACCTATGAAACATCGATTTAGTGGAAAGATTCAAGTGCCACTAGCAGAGTTAAACTGATGTGCGACGCGTGACACAAATGCATATCAGGATAATCCTGTCATATTATACACATTGAGTTTCGTACTGAGATATTGTACATCGGCAGCGTCCTTTGGCGGGTGACGGAGCCAGTTTGACGAGTTAGCTTCCCCACGCTCTGCAAACATGGTAAGTGTTATAGTCCACATAAGCCTATGTCTTTAGCCACCAAAGCAAGCATCAAAGGGTGGAAAGAAAGAGCCATCAAAAAAGCCTATGAAACCCAAAGAGGGTGGTGGAAAAGCAAAGAAGAAAAAATGGTCTAAAGGAAAAGTTCGGGATAAACTTGCCAATATGGTGTTGTTCGATAACCCAACTTTTGAAAAGCTACTAAAGGAAGTCCCACAGTACAAGGTAATAACACCTTCCGTTGTGTCAGAACGACTAAAAATTCGGGCATCACTGGCACGTCATGCTCTCGAGGAGCTATGGCGACGAGGTAGGTTTTCTGTCTTGCTGTCTCAAATCCTATTCTAGGTTCCATAAAAATGGTCTGCAAACACAATTCACAGCAAATATACACTAGAACAACAAAGACCGAATAATTGTACAAATATATGTGTTTGGTACTCAGACTTCTTTTTCATGTATGGTTAAAACGGGGTGTTAACTGTTAAATTACATTTTGCTTAGGGATGAGACTGAATCAAGATACAGTTTTGGAAACATCCCGACTATTTATGGTCCCATATCTCCGCACCTATGTTCCAAAGTATCACAGTTGGATGCAAGATTCGTGGTTGAGAGCAAGTACATCTTCAGAACAGCTTACACTGGACGAGGTACCGTAAGTTATGCAATCAATTACATACGGCTTAGTCTCGTAGTGTTTATGTGACTTAAAAATTTATTTCGGAGTATTTCTAGGGGGTTAGATAGTGGGCTTTGGGTTTGTCGTTCCGACTTTTACATATGGTTATATTCGTGATATTGACCTATTCGGTGCGACCGGAAACATTGATTTATCATGATATATACGGATAAGACCCACTTTATTCACATAGATTTACGTCGATACTAAACTTAGAAGTATTTCAGACAAACTCGTTATATCCCAAAATTTTTTTTACCTTTTCAAAGCATAACAGCTTCGTAGTTAGAACTGATAGCATGTACTCGTTTCTAGCATGCAACACTTGTAATGTTCACAGAGTGACCATAAAGTCAAGATTCTGCCCTTTTAGTTCCGTATAATTAAATTGATCTGCAACAATATACGAGTCGTGTTTTTGCAAGAATACAGTTTCTTAAGCGTATCACAGTTGCTTACTGTTTCGTTTTTGTAAACAACATGAAGCTATATGGCCTATTATAGTTTTTCAGTTAGTTCAACTTCCTATTAAAAGTGTCTAGGGATGAATTGTCAATCACGATGTAGTAAACTACACTTGATTCAATACGAAATCTTTTTGTCATCTGACAGGTAATTCGTTCTGGGCTTATTATCAGTAATAAGGATGGGAGATCTACCGACCTAAATTAATCCTTGCAGTTTCAGATAGATAGTAACAACGTGGAACTTCTTACGTACGTCAGTTCGAGTTGCCATATCACATTAGCACAGAGATGCAGTTGTCCATTCAAATCCCGTAGTGGTAGAGGTAATGAAATATAAGTAGTACTAGGGAACATTGGGGTTTGATGATGTTATTTAAGGAGTATAATCCAGTGGAATAGATTTGGAAAGAAAACAAAGGACATGAAGAATACAGAAGATTAGAATTTGGGAGAACACAAAGAGTAGAAGCACCTGCGCCATTGCAAGCGATTTTGAGCCATGTCGTTCAGGGTTTGTTATCGTGTAGCGGACCCCAACCAGGCAGTCTACACCTATCAACACTACTTGTCAGTGGCTATATGGACTTGTGCCATGTTTTGAATGGCCACCCCTAGCTTTCATCAAAGTACTCCTACACCATAAAACATCGCACGTCGAGGCAGTCGGTGGTCGGGCATACGTAACACATGTCCCAGCCATCTCAGCTGATTAAGTTTCACTACTTCATCAATTGATTTGCCATCCTCACCTAGTACCCGTTTCAAAACAACTGCATTACTTACTCGGTGGTCCCAGGATATACGAGCGATGTTTCGAAGACACCTATGATCAAATACTAGTAACCTACAAATATCCTCTACTCTTACTGGCCATGTTTCACTGCCATAAAGTAGGACGGAACGAACTGCTGCACAGTAAACACGTCCTTTGGTTGATAGACGGATATCTCGCCTACTCCACAAATGACGCAAGTTGGCAAAAGCTAGTCGAGCCTTCTGTATCCGTGCTGAGATTTCGTCACACACCAAACCATAAGGGCTGATGAGACTTCCAAGATAAGTGAAGCAGTCAACATGCTCAACTATTTCACTCCCTATCACTAGTTCGGGTGTCGATGTAACCCAATCCTGAAGCAACAATTTGCATTTCGAGGGAGAGAATCGCATGCCGAACATGTCTGCATTGTTGCTGCCTTAAGGTCGAGAAATAGTCAGTCAGTCAGTAACAACGTGGAACTTCGTACGTACGTACATCAGTTCGAGTTGCCATACCACATTAGCACAGTGATTCAGTTATCGATTCAAATCCTATAGTGGTAGAGGTACTGAAAGTATAAGTAGAGATAGGGGACATGAAGGTTTGATGATGTTATTAAAGGAGTATAGTCCAGTGGAATAAATTGGGAAAGAAAATAAAGGACATGAAGAATTCAGAAGATTAGAGTTTGAGAGAACACAAGGAGTGGATGCACCTGCGCCATTGCAAACGATTTTGAGCCATGTCATTCAAGGTCTCTAACCATCGGTTGCTATCGTCTCGCGGTCCCCAACCAGGTAGTCTACACCTACCAACATGACTCAATCCACTTGTCAGTGACTTCATGGATTTCTGCCATGTTTTGGTCTGGCCGCCCCTAGCTTTCTTCCAACCTACTCCTACACCATAAAACATAGCACGTCGGGGCAGTCGGGCATGCGCAACACATGTCCCAGCCATCTCAAATGATTGAGTTTCACTACTTCCTCAATTGATTTTCCATCCTTACCTAGTACCCGTTTCCTAACAACTGCATTACTTACTTGGTGGTCCCAGGATATACGAGCAATGCTTCGAAGACATCTATGGTCAAATACTAGTAACCTACGAATATCCTCTACTCTAACCGGCCATGTTTCACTGCCATAAAGTAGGACGGAACGAACTGCTGCACAGTAAACACGTCCTTTGGTTGATAGACGGATATCTCGCCTACTCCACAAATGACGCAAGTTGGCAAAAGCTAGTCGAGCCTTCTGTATCCGTGCTGAGATTTCGTCACACACCAAACCATAAGGGCTGATGAGACTTCCAAGATAAGTGAAGCAGTCAACATGCTCAACTATTTCACTCCCTATCACTAGTTCGGGTGTCGATGTAACCCAATCCTGAAGCAACAATTTGCATTTCGAGGGAGAGAATCGCATGCCGAACATGTCTGCATTGTTGCTGCCTTAAGGTCGAGAAATAGTCAGTCAGTCAGTAACAACGTGGAACTTCGTACGTACGTACATCAGTTCGAGTTGCCATACCACATTAGCACAGTGATTCAGTTATCGATTCAAATCCTATAGTGGTAGAGGTACTGAAAGTATAAGTAGAGATAGGGGACATGAAGGTTTGATGATGTTATTAAAGGAGTATAGTCCAGTGGAATAAATTGGGAAAGAAAATAAAGGACATGAAGAATTCAGAAGATTAGAGTTTGAGAGAACACAAGGAGTGGATGCACCTGCGCCATTGCAAACGATTTTGAGCCATGTCATTCAAGGTCTCTAACCATCGGTTGCTATCGTCTCGCGGTCCCCAACCAGGTAGTCTACACCTACCAACATGACTCAGTCCACTTGTCAGTGACTTCATGGATTTGTGCCATGTTTTGGTCTGGCCGCCCCTAGCTTTCTTCCAACCTACTCCTACACCATAAAACATAGCACGTCGGGGCAGTCGGGCATGCGCAACACATGTCCCAGCCATCTCAAATGATTGAGTTTCACTACTTCCTCAATTGATTTTCCATCCTTACCTAGTACCCGTTTCCTAACAACTGCATTACTTACTTGGTGGTCCCAGGATATACGAGCAATGCTTCGAAGACATCTATGGTCAAATACTAGTAACCTACGAATATCCTCTACTCTTACCGGCCATGTTTCACTGCCATAAAGTAGGACGGAACGAACTGCTGCACAGTAAACACGTCCTTTGGTTGATAGACGGATATCTCGCCTACTCCACAAATGACGCAAGTTGGCAAAAGCTAGTCGAGCCTTCTGTATCCGTGCTGAGATTTCGTCACACACCAAACCATAAGGGCTGATGAGACTTCCAAGATAAGTGAAGCAGTCAACATGCTCAACTATTTCACTCCCTATCACTAGTTCGGGTGTCGATGTAACCCAATCCTGAAGCAACAATTTGCATTTCGAGGGAGAGAATCGCATGCCGAACAGGCTTGCATTGTTGCTTAGAGTGGTCAACAGATTCTGCATTCTGTCAGCGTCTTCACCAAATAGAACTATGTCATCGGCATATTCTAAGTCAACAAGTGGATCTCCCGGTAGAAGTTCAACTCCTGGAAATTTAGATGAGGAAAGTGTCATCTCTAAAAGGACGTCAACGACAAAGTTAAACAAGAATGGAGAGAGTGGACAGCCCTGACGAACACCACTTGAGGTAATCAATTCTGAAGACAGTTCACCATAAGCTCTCACTCGACCAGTTGTGTTCGAGTAGAGAGCCTTTATAAGGTTGACGTACTTCTTTGGTACTCCCTTCAGTGACAAACATTGCCATAGAACCTCACGATCAACAGAGTCAAATGCCGCCTTAAGGTCGAGAAATAATACCATTGTGGGAATATTTCATCATGTTTTGGTGTGTGGGCTGAGATACTGCCCGGGTGCCCAAACCGAAGCAGGTGGTTTTCTTAGGGGGCCACATCCAGAGCCTTCGACCTGAACGTCTGACCCACAAGGCAGTGGAGTATCGTGATGAGATGCAGTCCCATGGAAGCCGGTGACTAAAGATTGGTTCATACGCCATTTGTTCCTTCAGGATACTGGAGCCCATGTGCACCATAGAATTGGGATCCGGTTATAGCGCCGGACGTTCGCTTTTCGTCCTCTCATTTTCGTAAACAACACCCCCGCCACGAGAAGGCAGTGAGTAGGACTTCCCTGGCAGAGGCTGTATACGCGTGGCCGTGTGAGAGTATTTCGAGAGGGAGGGCGAACCCTCCCCGCTCTCGGCCATACCAGGGCATTTGGGGGCGACTGTCAAACAAAAACGTTGTTCCTGTAACAACTATCGGGGGATAAGTCTACTTCCGATTGCGTCCAAGCTATTGGCTTCCGTCATACTTCGTAGGTTGTTCAGAACCCGAGAAGGATTGACTCGCGAGGAGCAGGCTGGGTTTCGTTCTGGTCGAGGATGTATTGATCATATCTTCACCCTCCGCCAAGTGTTAGAACACCGCCATACTTATCAAAGGCCAACAATCGTAGTGTTTCTTGATATCAAGGCTGCTTTCGATTCGTTGGACAGAACTGTTCTCTGGGATTGTCTATTGAAGAGGGGTGTGCCTGAGAAGTTTATTAACATCCTAAAAGCCTTATATACAAACACCTCAGGTAGAGTGAGGGCATACAACCACCTTTCTCCACTATTCCATTCAAGCAGTGGAGTTAGGCAGGGTTGCCCAATCTCACCATTCCTCTTCAACTTTGCCATCGATGACATTCTGGA